GTGTCCAGGAGCTCTGCAGAAGCAGAGTACAGAAGCTTAGCTGCTGCAACATCTGAGATTATTTGGCTGCTGGGATTGTTTAGTGAGTTGGGAGTTGAAGTGAAGAAACCTGTGGATGTATATTGTGATAGCAAGGCTGCCATTCAGATTGCAGCAAATCCAATTTTTCATGAACGCACCAAACATATAGAGATAGATTGTCATTTTGTTAGGGATAAAATCAAGGAAGGCAAAGTGCAGACTCAACATGTTGGAACAAGAGATCAACAAGCAGACTTACTCACAAAAGGCCTTGGAAGAAATCAACATGTGTATTTGTTAAACAAGCTGGGAGTGCTTGATCTATTACACCCTCCAGCTTGAGGGGGAGTATTGAAGCTAGTTAGTTAAGATGACACTTAAATGTTAATTAGTTGTTAGCTGTAGTTAGTGGAAGTAGAAAGTTGGTTAGACTAGTAACTAACTATAATGCTAAAGTGTCCAGCTGTGATGATCAGTTAAATCACACTATAAATACTTGTATGTGCCTTTATAGTTTTAGTTTGATATGAAATAAATTTCTCTCTTCTATCTTCTCTCAAAATGCTTCCGCCATTAATGTAGCTTGAGCTTACAAGCTAAGTATGAAATCTAACATAAGTCTCTTTTAATTTGGTTTTGTCAATATTATTCAACATAAATTATGCATGCATATGTTTTCATCATGACTTTACACACTTATTATCATTTTATTTACGTCAATAAATCAATTGCCCTTTTCACTTGAGAATTATTTATTTATTTATTAGGCTAATGTACTTGAAGTTGCACATTTAATTTCTTAATCGAAAGTATTAACCAAATGCTTTTGGATGTATAGTAAAATAGGAAGATAAACCCTCTTTACCCCTTTTATATTCATAAAAATAATTGATTGAAGTAATTATGTGCACCTTAATAATATTTTAATCTTATAAAGTCGTGGATTGGGATTCAAACACATCTTATAATTAGTACAATGCATTAGGATTTAAACTTGATATTTTACCTTTATTATAAGATCATGTGTTGCGTCATAATACAATAAATATTGAACATAACGTCGCTCTTATCTTTATTGTGTGTTGAGACTCTAACCCATTATTTGATGATTCAATCATCAAGTCTTGTTAGGCCATAATGAGTAATCGAAACTTAAACGAACGTCTTTTGTTATGATGCATTATGATCCAAATATCTTATGTACCTACATAAAGTCGTATTATGCCATATTAATATGTTGGAACTCGAACTCATATTTTATTCTCATGGAGCATTACAATTCTAACCCACCATTTTTGACCTCGTAAATTTGTGTATATATTAGGTTATAATGCGTTGGAATTCAAACCTAACATCTTATCAACATAATACATCATGACTCAAAACACCATCATTTGTTCAACTCTTTGTTCAATTTATATGACAATGAATTTCGATCTTAGGTTAATTAATTAAAAAGATTACTGGAAATATTTTTTCACATGCACCATTACTATTTCTAGATTAAAAAAAAAACACATCGTTGAAATTCCTAAAACAAAGAATCTAGATAATCATAGTCTCACACATAAATATATATAAAGTGATTACAAGGAACATGGTTCACATTATTGAAAATTCAAACCAAATCTAATTATTATTAAGAATATTCAACTTCACATTTATTTTTTATTAATTTTTGTTTAATTGGATTTGTAATATTATTAATTTAATAAGTAATAACATGGTTAATTACGTTAGATTCGGCTTCGTGTCTTTATTAAGTCTTTTCTGAAATATTCAAACAAAATCTAATTATTATTAAGAATATTCTATTAATCATTAAAACCTTTAATTTTTTTAAAAAGAGTTAGGTTAATGATTGTTGTCCATCTTAAATTAAATCGAATAAGTGTTAAACTAAAACCTAGCTTTCATACCTTTCTTTTTTCTTTCTTTCAAATTTCTCATTTTATTATTTCTTGGGTAAAAATGGCTAGTCAAACAACAATAATAACATATTTTTTGCGGGTTTGAATTCCATTGTGAACATTATATTAATTGTCCAAAAAAATAAAAATAATAATAATAACATACTTGGTCTAATTTCATAAGTAATAAAGTCTGATGAAAATAAAATATACAGAGTAAGGAAATTAGTTTCGACAAAAACGATTAATCTTATTTAAATTTTAGTTTATTGATATTAATTGTCTCTATAGTTTTCTAGAGAGTGAGATAAGTATGATACATCTAGAAAAGTTTATTAACATTCTTAATTAATTAGATAAGGATACAAAAGAAATGATCTCATACAATTGACATTAGTAATTTAATACGTTTATATGTATTTTTTTAATCTTCACTATGTTCCAATTTTCTTAACATGCATGTTAATTTTTCTTCTTCTTATAATCTTTTTTCTAATTTTCCGATAAGTCTAGAGGATACACCCTTACTAATTTGACATAGAAGCTTCTATAGATAACTTTTTAGTAATTTTAATTTAACCATTTAGTGTTTAAGACACATATTTCATTAATTTAAATTCATGTTAAATAGAATTCATTAGATAAGTAAATAATTGCTTATCAAGAGATTTTTATTTTCAGGAGAATTTGATGTCGCTTATTCTAAGTGAAGAGATATTAATGATATTATAATAAAGCTCGATATATCGTGAAATAACAAATTTGTTATTACTATTTGTTTATAAGAATTTTACTAGACTTTCTGTGTGGCCTTAGTTTATCTACATTATCCAAGAAAGCTATGGGAATTGTGAAGGAGGGGAAATAAATAATTTGCCAAAAGGATAATCTTATTTATCCTCTTGACGTAAATATATGATTTAATGTAATTTTTTTTTATATTACCTTAATAGCAATATTATAGAAGTTTTCTTATGTTAAAAAGATTCAATTCAAAATAATTTAAAATCATAGACAAAAGTCGAGGAATTATTGAATCTTTTTACTCAAAATATTTAAACGCATAAAATTCATCCATTTCACGATACAATTTTATTCATGGTAAGAGAAAATGTAAAGATATTTGATATACCGTAACTCGTAAGTATGAACAACAAACAAAAAGAGTAAAGAAATATAAAGTTTTTGAGGTTCCTTTCCGATATAATCAAATATTTGGTGAAATTTGACCTTAATTTAATATATAAGATTCGTATAAAAGTTACTACTTCATTTACACAATTCCATAATCGAAGCCTTTAGACTCTCCCTAACGACTAGGGATAAAATTGAACAATCTCGCACCCAAAGGGTCTAACCAAGGAGTTAATGAAGTATAGGTTAATACCATGAGGTTCTCATATTCAAAACCTAACATAGACAAAACACTAAATAGTTTCTTCACATCTGTTCTATTTTTGACAACCAACGTTATTTCATACCTATTATAACATGTATTCCGTAAAATTACTCGAGGTATGCTTAAAATGACCTGAACTATCAGACAAAAATAAAATTACAAAAGTCACGCTCCATGCCACGAGCGTGGGCCTTAGTTATTTTCAATCATATATCACAACTCAAACCGGTATACAATAACAAAAAAACCGGATTCATTACCTGAACCGGTTCACACTTGCCGATCTAGCCCCACACGTGCCAATCCCAAAAATGCACCATTTAAAATCCAGCATTTTGAAGAAAAATTCTATTCATATATCGTTAACCGTTTTTTTCCCCTTAATAACACACAACCAATCATTTCAACAGAAAAAAAAGAAGAAAAAAAATCTCAACTTTTTTTTTTCTCTGTTCTTGATATTTTTTTTCAAGCCTAGTTTTGTTTGATTTCAAAAAGTGTTTATTTTTTAGTTATTATTTTCTTTTTTGGTTCAAGAAAAGAACCAAAAAAGACCATTTTTAAGCAAGAAGAAGTCATGGAATTGAAGGATATGGTGGTTCTTGTGTCACGCTCCGGACGGCATTTGCAACGTTACAACAAGGGTCGTCGCCAAGTTGTAGGGTACGTACCCTCGTGTAACTTTTAAGAGACGGATTCAGAATTTAAACTGAACTCGTTATTTGAAATTATAAGTTAAGAGTTTGATGTTTGTTGTATTTTTTGTGTTGGCTGAGGTGTATATATATGTTTCGTGTTGAAAATGTTGGTTAGTTTGTGAAATTATTGTTCAAAAGTTTCATTCCCACCGTGAGGTGGAGTCGGGATTTGAAACTTAATTAATGATTTAGAGACGGATTTAGAATTTAAACTGAACTCGTTGTGAAATTATAAGTTTAAGAATTTGACGTTTGTTGTATGTTTTGTGTTGGTTAAGGTGTATATCTATGTTTCGTGTCGAAAATGTTGGTTAGTTTGTGAACCTTTTGTTCAAAAGTTTCTTCCTTCATCCTGAGTCGGAGTTAGGATTTGATACTTATGGATGACTTTTACTTATTTAATGGATTTCTTAATAGAATAACATGGTTTGAATCAAAACGATCGAACGTGAAAGTCATACCTCCACCCTCTTAGTTTTCTCTTGCATTTCATGTTAATTGGTAATCTATGTAATGTTTTTGTTTTGTTTACATGATTTAATTTCTGGGTTGGAACATATTGTTTAAACAATAATGTTAACAATGTGTTTTTTTCCTAAAAAAATGTTTTTGTTTGGAGAGTTGACTTCAAGGAAAAACTAAAAGAGAAGGTCAATTGGTCATCTTCCTCTATGATTCCAAATTGCAATTGACTTATTCAACATTTACCCCCTTCCTTGTCTTTTTGAGTTGATTTTTTCTACACATTCTTTTGTAGAAATGTATTGAATTTTTTTTTTTTTTACATATTTTTGGCATCAAAGATTTTGTATTTTTGATGCAATTTGTCCTTTGGATCTTATAAAGTTTTCCTTTTTAAGATATTTGTTTTGGTACTTTAGGGCAATATATCATTAGTTATGGCTTCGACAGAACTGAGTAACTTTGACTCAGACAAGTAGTTTATTCAGAACCTTATAAGCAAAACATTACTATGGTTCAAAATTCATAAACTAAAATCCCCGGTTCCGTCTTTGTTTGTTGTCTATTTTTCTTTTTTGATATCTTGAAAAAAAATAATCAGAAATTCATGTGGTGTTTGGCTAACTTTATTCAACTCATCACATGTCTTGTTTTTTTCCCCTGGGAAAAAGGACATTCTTTTATGTTTAATTAAAGAATAGTTATGGCATAATTTGATACCATTTTCTAGATTTTAATAGTGAAAGACTATTACTGAACATGGATATACATTTTTAAAAAAATTGTATCACATGGATTTGACTTTGTTGTATGATTTTCATGTGGAAAGATATATTTTTTGATGAATTATAAACCATATCAGTTTTCTTTGATCATGTATTTTCCGCAGATGTTTACCTTACCGATATAAAGACTTCATCGAGTTATCGTTGGTAGATGAAGATGCATTTGAAGTTCTTCTAATAAGTCCACAAAGAAAAGGCAAAGGATTGTTATTCCCAAAGGTAGCTACTATACTCCCACCGTCCCAAGTCTACCTATGTGACAATGTTTGACTGAACATGATGTTTAACAAAAGAAAGAAAGACTTTTCGAACTAGTTGTTTAAAGCATATTATAGACATTTCTGTGACTATTGATCTTATCGACTCGTTAAGAGAGAAATGAAAAATGTCATTCTTTTAAGTCTCGATTTTGAATACAAATTCCTTTTCTTGTTATGGTAGGGAGGTTGGGAAGAAGATGAAACGATTGAGGATGCAGCGCAACGTGAGACAATAGAGGAAGCTGGAGTTCGAGGTGAAGTTGAGGTTCGTTCCCCCTCATGATCTCTTTTTATATGAAAAATAAGAAACAAAATCTTCGCGTTAACTTGTTTATTACATCAAATAAATGGTTGTAACAAGTTTCAATCTTTTGTTTTTTCGATTACTTTTGCAGTGTAAACTTGGAACATGGTACTTTGAGAACAAAGCCGGTGACACCGCCTATGAAGGGCATATGTTTCCTCTGTTTGTAACAGAGGAACTAGACTATTGGCCTGAGAAAGAAATTCGCGAAAGAACTTGGGTATGCAATAATAATATACTTGTATGACATAAATAGTATCACATCTTCGTCTTAGCTGACAAGTATTTTTCCAATCTGTAGATGAATGTTCGCGAAGCAAGAAAACAATGCCAAAATGGATGGATGAAAGAAGCATTGGAAGTATTAGTAAGTCGTCTCACATCACAAATAAGCAAGCAAACCAAAGGGGAACTATTTCAAGGAATCGAACGTACCTCAAGTGGTAGAACAACTATTCTTCCATGGGGATGTAGAGCTCAAATACTTCCTCCACCACTATCAAATTCTACTGAAGAAGCATAATCGATCCACTACTAAACCATTCATGGTTGATGTAGTTTGTGAATAGGAATTAATCATTGATAATGGGTAAATCTAGCGCGCGGATTAAGTAGTTCATGAGAGTAACAACTCCAATTTTAAAGGAACAAATAAAAAAAAATAGTAGTAGAGGTTAGTCATAGGAGTATGTTGTTTGTTTGTTATTTTAGAATTGGAGTTGTACATTGGCTTTAGGCTTAGAAATGAAGTCTAATGTAATCCTTAAATTAGCAAAAAAATAATCTAGTTAATGACTAAAATTTAGTAGTTATATTAGTTGTATTAGTTAGTATTAAGTTTAATTTAAAAATATAAAGCTTAATGAAGTAATGATTATTTGTAAGTAGCCCATGGAAACAGTGATGTTGGAAAATTATTAATGCATTGAATTGAATTATTGGATGTTCTCTTTGTTTTTCTGAGGAATTTTGTTGGCAAAGTTAGAAGGAAAAGGGTACTCGTATGGTGTTTACATCAAATCATAAAAGTTAATCATAGGTAAGTTGTTTAATATGATGTGAAAATTTTGTTTCAATTTTCGGTTATTCTACTAGGTAATAATAGTTGTTTTTGAGCAATATACAATATCAACTCATGTGTATTGTTTATTTGATTTGTCACCCTTTTTCTGAGTTACTTTTAATTTTCAATGATTTTTGAAATCTTAAAAAATCAATAACTGAACTGATAAATTGATAGTTTAATCTTTAATGTTTTAGTACGTCTACAAATCGATAACCAATAAATTAAATTGATTAACTTCAAAACTGAACCAAAGACCGATACTGTGGTTTGTGGTAAATAGTGATAGTTGGTCTAATCAGTTTCAAGATGTGAAGATAGTTCATGTAAAAAAAAAAAAAAGGAACAACCGATAGTTGATGCATGAAAGTCACAAAAAAAAAATAAAGGAAAAAAATGTATGAAATCGCCAAAAATGATTGATAAGGTAATGTTTTGACTATTCATAATTTTAACATTTTACAAAATGAAAAAGCTCAAATATATTATTGAACTATCATAAAGGACTCATTCATTTTATCTGTGATAAATTAGACTCACATATATCACTATCGTTACAACGTTACCCAAAGTGCCACCATACATTGATAGAGGACATAACCAATTTTCAAATATCAGATTAGAGGTCCACGTCACTTACCAGTTCCACCAAATTAAAACCCAACCCAATTAAATCAACCCGCCCCAAAATTAAACCCGACTCACTTCCCTTTTAACCCAAAACTAGTCAGCCCCTTTGTCTTCTTCACTGTTCCGGCGAAGAGCTTCTAGCTCCGGTGAACCGGAGCAACTAGCGACGTAACACCCGTTTCTGTGGTCGTGGATCTTGTTCTTTTTAGGTTGGTGCTTACTTTTTTTCTACTTTATTTTGTGCATACTCTTTATTTTTGTATATAAATTTGTTTGATAATTGCTATAGTTCAGTAAAATACCCCAAATTGAACTTGTTTCTGCTGTTAACTTATGATTCCAAGGTTGAAGATGAATATTTTATAGAGTTTGATTAAATTACACAATGTATTGGTTGGAAATGTATGAAAGAAACATGAAATTGAGGAATAGTACTCTGACTCTGTTCCAATTTATACGACATACTTTCCTTCTTTTAATCAATTACAGTTGTTGATGATTCTTCTTTTCCAAAAAAAATTAGTTGTTTCTTTTGTTTTCACTAAGACCCATAGTGTTTTTTTTTTTTTTTTGAAGTCAAGCTGTCAGCTTTTGTTGACAAAGAAAGCCATTAACATAATTTGAGATTTAAAAAAAAAACAAACTTTTTCATCCATAATTTACAATTTCTTTCTATTATCACAACTACAATTTGTGTTTTCTTTTTCTGACAGTACAATAAATAGTGATTCCAGCACATAACAAGGGAGCTGCGTCGATCGACAAGTTTTCAGGCCAACATACTACAAAATGCTCATCAGATACCATCATGTCGGAGTAACCTCCAAACATGAGTGTTCTGTATGAGCTATAAGTGTTGTATGTAGGAATCTGAAGAGGGCAAAGATATAGTAAGTAACGTTACACATTTGCACAACTCTGAGGATTGGATAACATAATTGCATTCACAACTGAAAGTTATGCAAACTCTATTAGTGTGTGGTCGGGTGCTGAAGCATTCTATGACATCTTGCGACTTGCATCATGTCTTGTAGTTGGATCATTAACTATATATGTTCCCTTAATCATCTCTTGGTGCTTCATCTGTATTATTTTACTCTGCAAACGCCTACTTAGTGGCAAGTTTTAGATTTTGACCTTGTTGTACTTCATTTTTTAACTATACCTGTTCCCCTGATCATGTTTCTTTCTGCAGATCTATACCCAACCGATATAAAGATTTCACCGCGTTATCATTATAAGTTCACAGAGAAAGCAAAGTGTTATTCCCAAAGGTAGCAACTGATCCATGGCTTTAAGACTTACTACTACTTCATTTTGATGCTCTCTCTGATTGTTGTACTTCATTTTTTAACTATACCTGTTTTCGGGCACTGCTCACTGATGATTATATTAAACTGAATACGAATCTTAGCCTTTGGACTAAAAATAGGACTTGTGTTAACAATCTAAAACTCACAGATAAAATCAAATTTTAGAATTAGCCCAAAAAACACAATATCAATTATAAGGATTTCATATCGGAAGAGAATTACAAGGTTTAAACATCTACTATGTCTCTCTATATAGTTTCATAATCATTATTGGTAATGGTGAAGAAAATTCATAATGGCTTTGTTAACTCTTTTATTTCCCTAACGCTCAATGGAGTGGGTGGAGAACCATAAGGTCTCTGATTCTAGTTCCGATAGAAGCAAAAAGTACATTAGGGGTGTAAAATACAAAGAACTCCTTCAATCAAAATGAAGTCAACTGTTGTCTGGTGACACAAACATATAAACTCATGCCACGAAAAAAGTTGTTTGTTATTTTCAGTGTCAGGGGCATAACTTGTTTCATTATCAATTATTTGTAATGGTGAGGAGGATTCAGAATAGCTGTTGGTATTGCCCTGCTGCTTTATTTTAATGAAGTCAGCTGTTGTCTGGTGACGCAGAAATTGTTTAGATTATTTTTATTAATGGACTCCTTCAATCACAATGAAGTCAGCTGTTATTGATTCAGTCTGTTGAAGACTGAGCAATATTTGTCTTGATTAATTCCATTGTGTACATATTCTGATGAAGTTTTCGTATACGGAGGGTGGAGGGGATTGATCTCTGAAGGAATTTCCTAATACAGATGGTTCAAAGTAAACTCAATTACAATAATTCTAAACAATTGGAGTAGACATTAAGAAGCTTCACAGAATTTTCCTACCTATTACTTCTATCAATATATTCAATGAAAATATAAGTTGACTAGATCCAACAACAATTATTTATTCAACTGGAGTAAAGCGAATGTTCATAGAAGCTTTCATGTTTCAAGTTCTTCTTTCCTCTATATAACTAATTTGTTCATCAATTGATCTCATCCATACACTTAAGTTTTTCTTTTCAGACAATTAATTGAATCTATGGCATCATCTTCTTCTTATGCGAGTAATTCACAGTACTGTCCTCGATGGAAGTACGATGTCTTTCTAAGTTTTAGAGGTGAAGATACCCGGAGAAATTTTACGAGTCACTTGTACCAAGGTTTGGACAATAGAGGAATATTCACCTTTCTAGATGATAAAAGGCTAGAGGAGGGCGATTCCATCTCAGAAGAACTCGTGAAAGCAATAGAAGAGTCTCAAGTTGCCATAATCGTTTTCTCAAAGAATTATGCTACGTCAGGGTGGTGCTTGAATGAACTGGTGAAGATTATGGAATGCAAGGAGAAAGAAAATGGACAAACAGTCATACCGGTCTTTTGTTATGTGGATCCATCACATGTTCGACACCAAAGTGAGAGCTTTGCAGAAGCATTTGTCAAACACGAATCGAGGTATAAGGATGATGTTGAGGGGATGCAGAAGGTGCAAGGATGGAGGAATGCCCTAACAGCTGCCGCAGATCTTAAAGGATATGATATCCGTGACGGGTGAGTTAAAACACATATTTGCTTTTTATGAAAAAGGAAATGGGATAATTTCCAGTCAAATTAGGATGCTTTTGTGAAACCTAGACATATTCTACTATAGAACAAGAATCTATACCTCCAATATGAGTTAATTTAGTTGGAGAGAATACATAATAATCCTTCTAAACTATTCAAGTTTTGCAACTTTCATAATTCAACTATAGAGTGTTCCTATTACCCTGAACTACAATGTTTCCTATTTGATTAATGGTATGAGATACTCACAAATACTTCGACTTTCTCACATTTTCCGCTATCAATCTTCTTATTTATATAGGATCGAAGCAGAGTATATTCAGCAGATCGTCGATCACATCTCTTCCAAATTATGTAAGAGGGCTTATTCTTTATCTTCGTTGCAAGGTGTTGTGGGAATAAATGCTCATTTTGGGAAACTAGAATCCCTACTTCAGATAGAAATCAATGATGTTCGGATTGTAGGGATCTGGGGAATAGGCGGAGTTGGTAAAACGACTATAGCAAAAGCCATCTTTGATACTCTATCTTATCAATTTAAAGCTTCTTGTTTTCTTGCGAATGTCAAAGAAAATGCAAATTATAATCAACTGCATTCTTTACAAAATACCCTTCTCTCTGAACTGTTAAGAAAAAAAGATGATTACGTCAATAATAAGTATGATGGAAAGTACATGATTCAGAGTAGACTTTGTTCTAAGAAGGTGCTAATTGTTCTTGATGACATAGATCATGGTGATCATTTGGAGTACTTAGCAGGTGATGTTGGTTGGTTTGGTAATGGCAGCAGAATTGTTGTAACAACTAGAAATAGACATTTGATAGAGAAGGATAATCCAATATATGAAGTGTCTACACTGCCTAATGAAGAAGCTGTTCAATTATTCAATCAACATGCTTTCAGAAAAGAAATTCCAGATGAACGTTTTATGAAGTTCTCATTGGAGGTAGTAAATCATGCTAAAGGCCTTCCTTTAGCCCTCAAGGTGTGGGGTTCTTTGTTGCATAAGAAAGACCTAACTCAGTGGAGAAGAACTATAGACCAAATAAAGAAAAACCCTAATTCAGAAATTGTTGAAAAACTCAAAATAAGTTATGATGGGTTGGAACGTGAAGAAAAAGAGATATTTCTAGATATCGCATGTTTCTTCCGTGGATTTGAAAGAAAAGAAGTCATGCAGATCCTTGAGAGCTGTGATTTTGGAGCTGAATGCGGATTGGATGTCCTAGTTGACAAATCTCTTGTGTTCATCTCCAAATATAATGTGATTGAAATGCATGACTTGATTCAAGATATGGGTAGATATGTGGTAAAAATGCAAAAGGATTCGGGAGAACAAAGCAGACTCTGGGATGTTGAAGATTTCGAAGATGTGATGGTCAACAATACAGTAAGTAGGCTAAACAATGCTATAATATTCAGTTTTTAGTCTCCATCTTCTATTTTTTATTTAAAAGATGAAAATTGTTGGTACCCTATCAATTACAACTTCGTTCTCTTACAACATGAAAAACTTTTCGATTGGACTTTAAAGAACTAGTTGAAAATTGTATTACTAGAAATTAGAAATATAGAATTAATTGCATAAAGTATTTCTCTTTAGCGACATTTTTCTTAACTAATATTGTACCTTAATTTTATTTAATGGTCTCTTCAAATGCAATAATAAATAATACAAAACATAACGAAATTTGGCATTGCAAACAGTTAGAAAGTAGTCATATTGGCATGCAAATTTTATACAGATATTTGAAGTTATACTTTGTAAACTAATGAACCTTTTAACAGGGGACCAAGGCAATGGAAGCAATCTGGACACATGGTGTTCAAAAATTATGCTTTAGCAAAAAAGCCATGAAAAACATGAAAAGGCTTAGATTATTATCCATCATTAGTTTTAGTACACATGATGACTCCATTGAGTACCTGCCCAACAACTTGCGTTGGTTTGTCTGTCATAGTTATCCTTGGGAGTCATTATTAGAAAATTTTGAACCTAAGAAGCTTGTTTGTCTTTATCTCCAGAGGAGTTCCCTGCGTCAATTATGGACCGGAATAAAGGTACAATTGTTGAATTCAATTTTCATTATTTTTCTTTTTGTCAAATACGTACATAGATAGACTCTCAAATTTTAAATAAGTTTTGGTCTAAAATTGTTGGGGTGGTCCAATTAGAGTCAAAACTGAGGGACCAGTTTCGTTGGCTATTTTGTATCAAGAATTCGAATTTGATGAAATAGTTGTTGAGCTTTTTAATTTTAGCATAAAAATACTTAGTTTAGTTGACATAAAGGATAATTTTATATAAATTGGGTTAGAGCAAATTTGATTCAATGACTATGAGAGTAAGATATTTTTTATTGGTCTACTAGCCAAATCAAAATTATCCTGGGCAGCATCCTAATTCTCATTCTTTCTGTGTTTTGAATAGCAGCATTTGCCGTCTTTGCGAAAGCTAGATCTTAGAGATTCCGAAAGGCTGATTCAAACACCAGATTTCACGCAAATGATAAATTTGGAGTATTTGGATCTGCGTAACTGTAGTGATCTTGAAGAGGTTCACCGTTCCTTGGAGTGTTGCAGAAAACTCATTGTGTTAAATTTGCAGAGGTGTAAACGCCTAAATAAGTTTCCATGTGTTAACGTGGAATCCCTTGGATCTCTGATTCTACTACATTGCTCTAATTTGGAAAAATTTCCAGAAATCTTTGGAAGAATGAAGCCAGAGTTAGAGATCAAGATGAGCTGGTCTGGGCTAAGGGAAATACCATCATCTATTATTCAGCAATACGCATGTCATCTTACAGAGTTAAGTTTGAGTGATATGAAAAAACTTGTAGCACTTCCAAGCAGCATTTGTCAGTTGAAAGGTTTGGTGAAGCTGGATGTGTCATACTGCTCAAAACTTGAAAGCTTGCCAGAAGAGATTGGTTATTTAGAAAACTTGGAGGAGCTTCATGCTAGCTTTACTCTAATCTCACGACCTCCGTCTTCCATCATCCGCTTGAACAAGCTTAAAATCTTGAGTTTTAGATTAGACTTGAAACCTAACTCCTTTGCCACAAAAGAATCAAAATATAGAGTTTCCTTTGTGTTCCCTAGGGTGAATGAAGGGTTACGGTTGTTGGAAATTCTGGATCTCAGCTACTGCAATCTAACAGATGGAGGACTTCCAGAAGACATTGGATGTTTATCCTTTTTGAAAAAGTTGAATCTCAGGGGAAATAATTTTGAGCGTTTGCCTCAAAGCATAGCCCAACTTGGTTCCCTTCGATCCTTGGACTTATCACAGTGCATGAGTCTTAAAGAGTTTGTAGGTGTTAACATGGCTGAAGGGTTATGGTCGTTGGAAATTCTGGATCTCAGCTACTGCAATCTAATAGATGGAGGACTTCTGGAAGCCATTGGATGTTTATCCTCTTTAAAAGAGTTGAAGCTCAATAGAAATAATTTTGAGCGTTTGCCTCAAAGCATAGCCCAACTAGGTTCTCTTCGATTGTTGGACTTATCAGAGTGCATGAGGCTTAAAGAGTTTCTAGGTGTTAAGATGGCTGAAGGGTTACGGTCGTTGGAAATTCTGAATCTCAGCTACTGCAATCTAATAGATGGAGGACTTCTGGAAGACATTGGATATTTATCCTCGTTGAAATTCTTGTATCTCATTAGAAATAATTTTGAGTGTTTGCCTCAAAGCATAGCCCAACTAGGTTCTCTTCAATTCTTGGACTTATCATATTGCAAGAGGCTCAAAGAGTTGCCAGGTTTCACGGGGAGTGCAATAACTTGGATACTTTGGATCTCAGTTTCTGCGATCTAACAGATGTAGGACTTCTGGAAGACATTGGATCCTTATCCTCTTTGAAACACTTGAAACTCAAGGGAAATAATTTTGAGTATTTGCCTCATAGCATAGCCCAACTTGGTGCTCTTCAAACCTTGGACTTATCAGATTGCAAGAGACTTAGACAGCTGCCAGGTTTCACAGGGATGCAATACTTGGATACTTTGGATCTCAGTTTCTGCAATCTAACAGATGGAGGGCTTCCGGAAGACATTGGATGCTTATCCTTTTTGAAAAAGTTGAATCTCAGGGGAAATAATTTTGAGCGTTTGCCTGAAAGCATAGCCCAACTTGGTGCTCTTCGAATCTTGGACTTAATAGATTGCAAGAGGCTTACACAGCTGCCAGGATTTCCACAGCAATTAGATACAATACGTGCAGATTGGAGTAATGATTGGATCTGTAATTCATTGTTCCAGAATTTCTCAGCATTGCAGCATGACATCTCTGCTTCAGATTCATTGTCACTAAGAGTGTTCACCCTCACAGGGAATATACCAATACCAAGATGGTTCCACCATCGGGAAGGTGGTAGAAGTATATCAGTCAAATTGCCTGAAAATTGGTATGTAAGTGACAACTTCTTGGGATTTGCTGTATGTTACTCTGGCAAATTAATTGACGCAATAGCTCATTTGATTTGTTATGATGAGAGGCCAGTGACGCGTATCACCCAGAAACTTGCCTTGTCCAATCATTCAGTAGAAGTTCAGGAATCTCCTATTCATTTTTTCTTGGTACCTCTTACTGGCTTGTTGGATAAATCTAAGGCAAATGGAAAAACACCAAATGACTATGGGCGCATCAGGATATTTTCCACTGGAGAAATGAAGGAGTTTGGACTTCGTTTATTGTATAAAGATAAACCTAAGATTGAGGCGAGTTGCTCATCTTCTCAGAAACAATGATGAACTAACAGCCATGATGATAGTGAACACCAAGATGAAGCTAGACTATCCGTTTTAAAATGAGAATGATCATACACCAGAAGCAACTTTTTTTTTTCTTCAAATTTTATAAGAATAATTTTTGTACAGAGCCACATTTTGTTGTTTGTTGGATGGTGAAATGGAGGTTTATTTTTCATGCTCAATCATTCATTGTTTACTAATTGTCTTTTATCTTTTTATATATATACAATTCTCTCCAAAACCAAAATAAATTGTTCTTCTCTTGTGCTGTGCCATGATTTACCATGGTGTGTTAACTTGTATGAACAAGCTTAATTTTTCTGTTAACTTATTTTGGGTTTGAGCCTTGGATATTGAGTAGCATTTGTTAGGAATTATTTTACCAACAGAAATCTAAATTAAGTCAGACTCCTATGCAGATACAGCATATCAAGGGAACAAAAGAGGTACTTCTTTTGAAGGGAAATGTGAAAATATAAGATGTCGTGATGTTGGAAAATTATTAATGCATTGAATTATTGGATGTTCTCCTTGTTTTTCTGAGCAATTTTGCTAGCAAAGCTAAAAGGAAAAGGATACTCTCATTGTGTGTTTATATCAAATTATAGAAATTTATTATATTTAAGTTATTTTATATAAATATGAAAATATTGTCTCAACTCTCGATTATTCTACAAAGTGAAAATATTTGTTCTTGAGCAAGATACAATATGTCAAATTCATGTGCATTAATCATTTTGTTTGTCACTACTCACCTTGTTTTTGAGTTATTTTCACTGATTTTTGAAATCTTATAGGTTAAATCGATAACCAAGCTGATAAATGGATAACTTAATGGATTGATAACGATTTAGTATGTTACAAATTATTAACGGATAAACTTCAAAATTGAACTGAATCAACCGATACTATGTAGATAGTGATAGTTTAGATAGTAATTGTTGGTCTAATCAGTTTCAAGATGTATTTTAATACATAAATATTGATAGTTCATTTAAGAAAAAGGAACACTTGATAGTTGAAGTAAAAAACTCGCGAAAAAATAATAAATACCATCAAACTATCAAAAATGACCCATCCATATTATTCGTGATAAATTGGACTCACATATATCACTATCGTTACAACGTTACCCAAAGTGTCCATTCATGCCATTATGTATCGACGGAAAATATAAGGAATTTTCAAATATCAGAATTAGACACGTAACCTCCGATCGGAGGTCCACGTCACTCACCCGTCCCACCAAATTAAAACCCAACCCAATTAAATCAATCCGCCACAAATTTAAACCCGACCCACTTTCCTTTTAACCCAAAACCGTCAGCCCCCTTCGTCTTCTTCACTGCTCCGGCGAAGAGCTTCTAGCTCCGGTGAAACGGAGCAACTAGCGACGCAACACTCGTTTCTGGTGTCGTGGATCTTCTTAGGTTGGTGCTTACTTTTTTCTACTTGATTTTGTGCATAATATTTTTTTGTATATAAATATGTTTGATAATTGCTATTGTTCAGTAAAATACCCCAAATTGAACTTGTTTCTGCTGTTAACTTATGATTCCAAGGTTGAAGATGAATATTTTATAGAGTTTGAGCAAATTACACGGAAAATGTATTGGTTGGAAATGTTCATGAAAAATTTAGTTTAATTAAGGAAAGGACAAATCTCTTTCACTTTTTTCTTTCTCACTGACTTTCCCACTTCCTTTTATTAAAGGTGGAGTGGGTGTGGCTCAACATGGATTCAACTTTAATTGTTCTCTTTATACATTCCCTTTTTTTAAAATTAATTACAGATGTTGATGATTCTTCTTTTCCAAAAAAAAAAATTGATTCTTTTTTTTGAAGTAAAGTTGTAACATAATTTACAATTTCAAAATATATTTTTTTCATCCATAAATTAGTTTAAGGAGAGGGCCATCTGATATGATTCACTCTTTCATTTTCTTTCTATTACCACAGCTACAATCTATACACACAAATCAGTCATTTAATTGAATCCATGGCATCTTCTTCCTCTTTTGCGAGTAATTCACAGTACTGTCCTTGATGGAAGTATGATGTCTTTCTTAGTTTCAGAGGTGCAGACACTCGGAGAACATTTATGGGTCACTTGTACGAAGGTTTGAAAAGCAGGGGAATATTCACTTTTCAAGATGATAAAGGGCTAGAGCATGGAGATTCCATCTCAGAAGAACTCTTGAAAGCTATAGAAGAGTCTCAAGTTGCCGTAATCGTTTTCTCAAAGAATTATGCTACACCAAGGTGGTGCTTGAATGAACTAGTGAAGATCATGGAATGCAAGACTCAATATGGACAAACAGTCATACCGATCTTCTATGATGTGGATCCATCACATGTTCGATACCAAAGGGAGAGCTTTGCAGAAGCACTTGCCAAACACGAATCGAGGTATAAGGATGATGTTGAAGGAATGCACAAGGTCAAAGGATGGAGGATTGCTCTAAGTGATGCCGCAGATCTAAAAGGTTGTGATATCCGCCAAGGGTGAGTATAAACAATTTATTTTATTTTATAATTTCTGGAAAATAGAAAGACAGTTGATTTACATTCATTTATCATCCAGAAGATATTGTAGTTCTTATCACTTCAACAAAATTACTTAATAACAAGAGTTTGATTTATGTGAAGTACTTACTAATACTTGACTTATTTTTTTTTTTCATTTATCCACAATTAAGCTTCTTATTTGTGTAGGATCGAATAAGAGCATATTCAGCAGATTGTCAACCAAATCTCTTCCAAATTGTGTAAAATTTCTTTATCTTATTTACAAGATATTGTGGGAATAGATACTCATTTAGAGAAAGTAAATTCCCTACTAAAGATGGAAATCAATGATGTTCGGATTGTGGGAATATGGGGAATGGGGGGAGTCGGTAAAATGACAATAGTAAGAGCAATTTTTGATATGCTCTCACCTCAATTTGTTGGTGCATGTTTCCTTGCGGATATCAAAGAAACTAAAGAAATACACTCTCTGCAAAATATCTGCTAAGGAAAAAAGAAGAATACGTGAATTAAAGGTGGATGGGAAGCACTTGATGGCTCGCAGACTTCGTTTTAAGAAGGTCTTAGTTGTGCTTGATGACATAAATCACGGAGACCATTTGGAAAACCTAGCAGGGGACCTTGATTGGTTTGGCAAGGGAAGTAGGATTATTGCAACCACAAGAGACAAACATTTGATAGGGAAGAATGATGTAGTATATGAAGTGACTACACTAGTTGATCATCAAGCTATTCAATTGTTCAATCAACATGCTTTCAAGGACGAAGTTCCAGATAACTCATTTGAGAAGCTAACGTTGGAGGTGGTATGTCATGCGAATGGACTTCCTTTAGCCCTAAAAGTGTGGGGTTCTTTCTTACACAATAGGGACATAACTGCGTGGAGAAGTGCTATAGAGCAAATGAAAATGAACTCTAAATCAGAAATCGTTGAAAAGCTCAAAATTAGCTATGATGGACTGGAGACCATACAACGAGATGTATTTCTACATATAGCATGCTTCTTACGAGGGCAAACAAAGGAGTACATCATGCAAATTCTTGAGAGTTGTTATGCTGGAGCAGCTATTGAATTGAGCGTCCTTATTGACAAATCTCTTGTGTTCATCTCTGACGATGATACAATTCAAATGCATGACTTAATACAAGATATGGGTAAATATATAGTAAAACTGCAAAAGAATGATCCCAGTGAATATAGCAGACTATGGGATCCTAATGATTTCGAAGAAGTGATGGTCAACAATACAGTAAGTAGACTAAACAATGCAATAATATTCAATTTATGGTTTTCATATACCAATATTCATTTATCTTATGTTATTATGTCATGAATTAGTCTAGTAGCCGCTTAAAATGTTTAATTCCAACTTTCATTTTTGGATTAATTTGAAATTTGTACGATATTTTGTACATTATAACTCAATCAGTAAAAGTATAAGTTAAGATTATCTAGCTATGTATCCTTAGTAACCTTTTAATGATGAATATCCTCAAATGGAAAAATACAAAATATTTTTAGTGGTGCTAGCTCTTTAATTAAGAACTTCAAGTTCAATAATAATTAGTAATATAAAACATGACAAAATTTGGCATTGCAGGGAGTGAGAAAGTAGTCCTACTGGCATTAGAAGTTTTTCTTTATAGACTAATGATCCTTTTATCAGGGAACCAAGAGGCAACAGAAGCAATCTGGTTACAAGGAATTCAACATCTATGCTTTAGCAAAAAAGCCATGAAAAATATGAAAAGGCCTAAAATATTACGAATTGGGAATTTTCGTACAAATGATGACTCTATTGAGTACCTGCCCAACAGCTTGCATTGGTTTGATTGTGATGGATATCCTTGGGAATCATTGCCAAAAACTTTTGAATCCAAAAGACCTGTTCATCTTAGGCTCTCGTGGAGTTGGTTGAGTCATTTATGGACTGAAATAAAGGTACAATAGTTGACCTTCAATTTTAGTCAAACATATCCCTTTTGGAAGCTAATTTTTCATTTTGTTTTTCTTTACAATCATGTGCCTGAAATTATACCTTTTAGTTAAAATTATACTTTTATTTAGTTTCTGAACACATAATTTCAATGTGGTTACTCATTTTTGGTTAAGGGAGTAATTAAACACAAGATATTATACTGCTCTCGTTTGCCTATCTCATTTCTGTGTTCTGAATACATAACAGCATTTGCCGTCTCTACGGACGCTAGTTCTTAGCTATTCTTATAACCTTATGCGAACACCAGATTTCACTGGGATGCCAAATTTGGAGGATTTGGATCTGATGGAATGTACGAGTCTTGAAGAGGTTCGCCATTCCCTGGAGTATTGCGGAAAACTCATTCGATTAAATTTGAACGAGTGTGTAAGCCTTGTGAAGTTTCCATGTGTTAACATGGAATCTCTTGAATCTCTGGATCTAGATGGTTGCTCTGGTTTAGAGAAATTTCCAGAGATAGTTGGAAGAATGAAGCCGGAGTTAGATAAGCACCAAACTCATAGTACCGTGCTGTATTTGACTGGTTTAAAAAGCCTTGTAGCTCTTCCAAGCTGCATTTGTAAGTTCAAAGGTTTGGTGAAGCTAAATGTGTGGGGGTGCTCAGAACTTGAAAGTTTGCCAGAAGAGATAGGTGATTTAGAAAACTTGGAGGA